ATCGGCAATTTCCCTTGCCGTTGTTCTTGTCCGTGATCGTGCCGTCCGGACCCGCATTCGCGTTCTCGGTGTCCCGGTTGAACTGGTCCTCGAGCATCGCCGTCGCCTGGTTCTTGATCTCCGTGGCCAGGATGCTCCCCTGGGACTTTGGGACGTTGTCGCTCTCCTTGGTGGTGACCTTGACCAGTTTGTTCATGTCCGTGCGATAGCGAGGCGGTGGGAGATACTCCGGGTAGGAGCCCTTGAGCGGCTTCTCGACCACCAGATGGCTGCTGCTGCTGCTCCCGGCAGTTGTCTCCTCCAACTGATTCCTCTCCCAGCGCGAACCGCACTGCAGGCATGTCCACCAGAAGTAGCCTCGACCTGCTCGGTGACGTAGGTACTCCTGAACGTGAGGACAGACATCCGGCTCGTGGACCCAATTCTTCTGGGCTTTGCCTGCCGAACCACTTGCTGCGAGACGTTCTTCGTGGTCTGCTTCTTCATGGTCGTCTGACTCACGGCTCCCAACTCTTCCTCCACCTTTCTTGACTTCACCAGGTAGTCCACCACCAGCTGATCGGTGGCTGCCTTGATCAGGGTGAAGATCGCGAGGGTCATCCTTCGCCAAGCATTTTTCGCCCTTTGCGGATTCGGCTCCTTGGGGACGGTCGGATCCTTGGCATGGACCATCTTGTTGATGCGGTCCTTCAGCGATGCCATGGCCGACCACGAATTGTCGAGCTTGATTGAATAGCCACTTGAGCATGGGAAGTGGCTGCGGCGGTACATAGAGATCATGACCCGCACCGTGATCGCTCGGTCCAAACTGGCTTCCATTCTCAGAGATGTCAAAATGAGCAGCCTCTGATTGTTGGTGACCGGTTTTCCTGGGGTGCGCGTCTGGCTGTCGGTTCCGACCGCTTCGTGATGGCGGTTGGTAGCTAGAAAAAGCGCTTCCCCGGGCATAAGGTCCATTCGGTCCCCAGGGCCCATCAGCGCCAAAATCATCACCAGCGGGAGCACTTGCATCGCCTCCCAAAAAAACGTTGGCGTTGATGCCGTTCTGGGAAAAGGTGACACTGCCGTGCCAGGGCTGCTGAAGCTCTCTATGGGCGTGCTGCGTCTGCCAGTCGTCATCGATGGTGATCTCGCTGCCGTCATCGAACACGACATGTGATGTGCGGCGGCGAGTGATGTGCTTCGGAGGCAGTCCACTGCAATCCGCGGGCACAATCATGGGCAGGCGCCCGCCAGGCTGAGCTTGCACAAAAACTTTATCATCTGCTCGTTGAAGCCACACTGACACCATAGAGACCGTCGCCGATGAAGTGTGGGATGGAAGCACAAATGGGTCCAGGTCGGGGTTCTTTCGCATCTCGGTTGGCAAATTCCAACCGTCGGGATGGTACTGCAAAATGTCGATGGCGCGATGTCCGGTGGGCAATCTGAGCATCTCAACGGTGTTGCCGCCAATAACGCACTCGCTCTTCTGGAAGTCGATGATGGTGTCCATCGTCTCCAGGAAACTCACCGGCAGCAGGGGGGGTGTCTCAAACTCCCCGGTGTCCTTCAGCACCGTAAACCTGAGGATGCAGTTATGGCCAGCAACGCCAATAGGCACATCCATCATCGATTGCACCACAGCTGCTCCGCCAATGCCTCCAGCGCCAGGAAGTTCCACACCAGTCGCTGGAATGGCTCGCAATCCCATGGCCCGAAGAGAGCCATGCAACCTGTTCATCGCGTTCGATCCGATCACAGCGTCCTCGGCGGCGGTGTCCACCAAAGCCTCGCTCGGCCTGCATCGAACTCCTGCAAATACAGCGAGTCGCCTAGGCTGATGGTAGTGCATAAAGACTGCAGGGGCATTGGAAGGGTGGGCACCAAAGACGAAGGTCCGCTTGGTCTTGTCGGAGAAACCTTTCGATGAGCTTGTAGTGGATGAAGTCTTCAAAGGGCAATCTCTGGCGAAATGTCCCATCTCGTTGCAGTTGAAGCACCGGGTGCGGTTCTGCAGGTCGCCCATGCTGCCCTTGAAGCCTCCGTCATCTGACTTCCCCTTCCGGCTGAACTTGGATTTGCCGCCCTTGTTCCATTTTCCCTTTTGGAAGGTTCTCTTTCCTCCAAAGGGCCGGTTGTAGTTGTCGCGCTTGGTGTAGCCGCGCTCGTTCCTCCGCCGTTGCAACTCCTTTCTCACATCTCGGTAGGCCGAGTGGTAGGCTTGGATGTAGTTCGCCTCGGTCTCCGAGTACTCTCGATCCTCCATGTACATCAGGGGGTTGCCCTCGTCATCCATGAGAGATTCTTCCTCCGCGTCCTCGTTCTCATCCTCCTCGAAGTAGGACTGATCGTCCTCCATGTGGTCGTCCGCATTAGCGTGCTCGGGGCTCGCGAAGTAGGCTCCTCGAGGTCGTCCACCAGCGTTGTCAGGTCGAGCAAGTGCCTCCGGCCTGTCCAACGGTCTGAGCATGTTGGCCACCTCATCAAAGGTCCGCATCATCGGTCCTTTCAGACTAACGAGTTCCCTCTGGAGCTCGTTGAGGTTGGCCTGCTTCAAGAGGATCCGCCCGCAAAGCCTGTCGCTGACATGTTCCCGAGGTGGGATTCCATCTCCTGTCGAGCCAGCTCCTTCGTTGCCACGAAGGATGAAAATGATTCACCTCGTCCGCGCTCTCCTTCGAATAGGAACTTGTCGACGGCCTGCGGGCCTGTGGCTTCCAAGAAGGGGCCGTACTTCTCCAAAAGCTTCGAGAGGATCGCCGAGTAGCCCTGTGCGGAGATCAGGATGTCCGTGGGCACGGTGTCGGCGATACGCCTGGGCTGAGAGCCCTCCGGAAAGCTCTGCAAGAGCTTGATGCCTCTCTTGTCCTGCGGGATCTGGCTCTCATGCTCCCACAGCGCCAAGAGTTTCAACCATGAACGGAGCGTGGTCGTAGCTCCATTCCAGCAAGGAATCGGCCTCTTTTCACCGGAGAGGGCCTGACTCAGCGCCTGGGCTATCAGCGCGTCTCCCGACAGTCGTCCTTGAGGATGAGCAGCATGACCTCCCGGCAGGGAAGGTTTTCCCAGCATGTCCATTGCAGAATGAACTACTCGTTGAGGACTTCCAGAAAGGCCAGAGCCTATGGCTGAGGCAAAGGTAGCTGCGTTCATCTGGGTGCCGGGGTCCACGTTCGTGGCGGGCAAAGGATTCGCATTGGGGCAAGGGGTGTTCAAGCTGAAGGGCAAGTTCTGGGTGTTCGCGCCGAAGGGCAAGTTCTGGGCATTCATGCCGGTGTGCACGTTCGGGGCGTTCACGCCAAAGGTCATGTTCTGGGCGTTCATGCCGTAGAGCAAGTTCGGCGTGTTCAAGCCGAAGTTCGCGCTCTGGGCATTCATGCCGAAGTTCTGATTCTGGGCACTCGTGCCGAAGTTCTGGTTCTGGGCACTCGTGCCGTCGGCGGTGTGCTGCATGTGGTGCGCATTGGGCGTCGGTCCTGAGGAAGGTCCAAAGGAAAGTGGTGGCCCCGCCGTGCTCAGTCCAGGTGGTGGGCCGAGTCCGGCCGTTGTCGCCGCGGGTGTTCTCGCGGATGCGTCACTGCGGCCTTGGTTCCGCAGGTAGTCCAACCATGGGTCGGATGGCGAGGCCATCGGTAAGGCTCCGCTCACCACTGTTGGTGAGCAGTCTACAAACGCTCTTTTCTACTGGGGCGCAGCCGATACAGCTCAAGGCCTGTCAAGACAATCCAGATCAACCCAAGACTCTTAAGTGGTTTCCTCAATGGGGAAGGTACCCCTAGAAGAGCTAAGGCTCCAATTCGATGCTTTTTGGCCCCTCAAAATGGTTTGTTTGGGGCAACTTTTGTTTGGGGAACTTTTCGTGTGCCACAAAAGTGGTCCAAACCCCCCAAAAAGAGTGACGGATGATGTTTTTTCGGATTGCCCAACCCAAAAAAAAAACGGGAACTCACCTCCTGAGTGGACCAGCTAAAAAACAATTGGTAACCAAACTCCGGCGCTGGAGGGGAATTTTGAGGTGATCGCCTAAAATGGGTTGGCCCTAAAATCCGGCGAAGCCAAAAAGGGGGTATCTACTTAAGGTCAAATAGGCCTTGTCCGGGAAAGGTGTCTAAAAGTAGGGGCATGTGGGTGGAGAGGGGGTGAAGATTTGGGCCCTCTTGATGGAATCCCGCTCAGAAGCCCTCACGAGGCGGCAGGAGGCGTTTCCTTCACCCCTGCCATGTATACGGAAGGGAAGGCAAAGCAAAAGGAAGTTCGAAGAGTTGCCCAACGTCCAAAACCCGGTTCAGTCGAGAAAAGAGGCTGACCCCCTCCCCCTCCCCTGCAAATGCAAAACAGAAGTACACGATGGGTTTACATGACTCACTTGCTGAGTGGATGGCCCAAAAAAAGTTCAAACTTTATATTTACCACTAAAATGGTCTTCCCAAAAAGTTTAAAGATCATGAACTCAGGAAGTGAGATGGGTACGCTTACCGGAACCTCGTTGGCTCGGGGCCTCCCAGGAAGACCCCGGAAGTTGCAATGTCAGCCATCTAAATCTCGGTTGCCCAAAGGACCTAAAAGGTGATCACCTTTTGGGACCTCTACTAAAAATCGACCAAAAAGGGAAAACCAAAAGGTCAAAAGGTCGATTCGCTTTGAACAACGGAGAAATCGCAAGGGTGTGCGAACACCACTTTCTGTTTGCCAGGAAAATCCCCGAACGTAACATGAAAACACCACGGAACTGGAAATCAATGAGCCACCGGAACGAAGGTGTTCCACTCAGACTCTTCCAAAAGCCCTCAAATATATGCGTACATGTTTAACTGTATACGTATATCTTTATAATATATGCATATATATATATATATATATATAGAGCATGTATATATATATATATTTGTACCTAACAAATGTATAATTGATATTTGATATATGTATTAAAAAAGAAGAAGAAAAACAACATATTCATAATGCACCCCCTCCAGAGTGACAGGGGAAGTTCCCAGAAGGCCAATGCTTCCCTTCCGATCCTTCAGCTTCTTGGACTTCACGTCCGCCTTCTCCAGGTGCTCCTGGATCCACCCCCCCGGAAGCCGGAGACTTCGGAGACATGGGCTGGATGGTCTCCGGGTGTCCGGGTGAACAGCAGCTGGGACCTCACGAACGTGGTTTGGAAAAACAAGGTCTTGATTGGACTGTAGAAAAACATCGTTCCCAGAGGTTGATTTACTTTGAGGCATGGAAGGAAACCGGGCAAATGCGACCAGTTCCCCGAATGACAGTTTGGGAAATGACCTCCATGCCGACAGATTTAAGAAATGTCCTGACATCCCTTGTGCTCCCAGACCCCCAGCTGCTGAATTGGGGATCCCGCACGGGGCCTTCACATGGGCGGGATAGCTCTTTTCAGCCCCCGTTTTTTGAGTTCGCCAAGATGAGTGCGAAAACGTGAGCGGAAATGCGCCTGTCGGTCAAACAAAAATCCCACACATTGTAAGCGCCCAAATAACTTAAAGGGGTTGTAGGGCACTGTAAGCCAAATTAAGTCTTGATCATAGGATAAGTTGTGCAACTGGTTTGCACTTTACGAATACCCAAAACTCCAAACTCAGAAATGGCCGACGCTGGGAACGTCACCGACAATTGCTCGATGAGGTCGATGACCTCGCGGCGAATGGCACGGCAGGCTAGAAGGGTCCAACTCCCCCAAACTTATTTCTTGCGTCCCATTTAAATACCTCCTGCGTAACGTGGCCGGGGGTAAAAATCCATTCAGAGTCATAACCCGAACCCCCAACACAAAAAGACTTCGTCCCTTTTTCCGGGACCACCAAGCTAGCCATTCTGGTACATGAATTGTCCATGAAGATGCGCTTCATTGGTGGTTTTGGATTGGTTGGAAATCAATTCCCATTAGGGATCAAAACCAAATCCAAGCAATCAATCCAAGCCTGAAACCGGTCCCAAATCCAGCAGCCACCCAATAGTGGGAACTGACCTGCTCAAAGACACTTGCCACCCACAAAAAGTACGGCCAGCTTGCCAAGTCAACAGGTCAGCGCAACAAGTGAATTATCCGACCTATACAAGTGCACCAACAAAGCATCTCTACTCTTGGTATGGTAGCAAAAAACTTTGTGTTTTGCAGACCCCCAGTAAAAATGAACAGAACCAAAAAACTAAAAAAAAAAAAAAAAAACATGCCAAGAACAGCGAAGATGAAAGATAACCAACGTCCCTCAAAAGGATGGTTTGGAGTCGGGTGGCTTGGAGACAATCCGGGGGGACCCTCAAGAACCAGGGCTTCAACAGTTGTACTCCACCCACGCCCTGAATCGCTCCTTCTTTCCCCCCCATGACTCCTGTGAAAGCATGGCCGAAACCAGAAAGGAGGCCCTACATTTTTTTATTCCTTGCTCAGAACCAGCAAAGCAAGATTATTCGACCACAACCTCATTTCGGTTCCCCTCTAAAAAGGGGGCCAACCCTGAAAAACTCACGCAAAAGTCACGAGAACCAAACCCTGTACCAGTTGTGGTGGATGCACCCCCACAAAATACCGGGGGAAACCACCTATCAATTGGTGCGAATCAGATTTTGTCCGGTTGCCTCACATGTGTTTCCAGAAGTGTGCCCTCCCCCAATAAACAAGTGAAGGGGGGGGGGGGGGCGGGAGTAGGCTTCCAAACCCCACCCAACCGCCATGATCGCACTTGGCCTTCCCCAACAAGAAGTCCGCGCCCCACGCATTTCCCGCATCCCTTCCGGAACGCACCCCCCTCATCCCCCTACCTTAAGGGGGAGGGGGGTGGGGGGTTCCACAATTCCGTTTATTCAGGCTTCCCCACAAAAAGGAAAATGGCTCACCAGAAAAAAAAAATGTAAAAATCTCCAGGGGTCACCCCCCCCGTGCCATGGACACCTAGAGTTTTTTTGCAGACTCAACCCCAAAAAACCAGTACCCTAAAAGAAGGAGGTTGCAAAATAGACCCTAAGTTCCACCATATGTCACCCCCCCCAATTCCATTTTGAAGGCTGAAGCCGTGGCCTTCCGGCGCTGGTCTGCCGCCCCAGTGGCGCCCAGCCTCAGCTTAAGAGAGACTCGCCGCCGAAAAAAAAAAAAAAAACAAAAAAAAAACGCGGCACAACCTCCAGGGCGGGAGACCCGAAAATTCCTTGCCATCGGTGTCCTTTTAGGGGAAGTAGATGGGTTTCCCTGGTTCCATACTGTGGATGGATCGACGAAACTTCTCGCACCACCTCAAAAGCCCTGGTGAATGAGTCGGTTCCCCTGTAAATACCGGCTTCAACCATGGTTTCAAAGTGGTGCGAAGTGGATTTCGTCCATCCACAGTAGGTGTCCTTTTAGGGGAAGTAGATGGGTTTTCCTGGTAGATGAAAAAAAAGAACACCAGGTGACCCGCCCCTCTATTTTTCCAGCAACCCCAGAGAGCTATGTTTTGATTGGGGGGATTTGGGGACCCATAAAAGGAGATTCGAAAACGGGAGGCCCATAGAGAGCATCCTTCATTCACCTTTGCATGGCTCACTTCTTGCCAATCAGCAGGGGCGGGTTGATGCACCTTTTCACCCATCCTCAAAAGAAAAGACTGAGTAAAGCACCGACAAATGTTCACTTTTGCCATTCTGGGAGCTGGAGCTACAAGGCGATGTCACCTTTTGGGAACTCTACTACAAAAGGGACCCTAAAGGGAACCCATTTTGGTCATTTCAGGTCGATTCGCTTTGCACAACTGCGTCTAAGGGCATGCCGAAGCCATTTTGGTCATTTCAGGTCGATTCGCTTTGCACAACTGCGTCTAAGGGCATGCCGAAGCCATTTTGGTCATTTCAGGTCGATTCGCTTTGCTCAACTGCGTCTAAGGGCATTCCCAATTCCGTTCTGAAACCAGAAGTCCAGTTCAAGGTTCAACCTCCGGAAACTCGGAAAAACGGTTCTGGTTGTTAAAAAGAACGATGGTTGAAAAGAATGGACATCAGCCCGTAGAAATATAAGCTAAGCAGTTTGTGCTCCCTGAGCTGCATGCAACCTCCATACTGGAGATGAGAAACCATTGCTTGGTGTTTGCAGGCGAACTCCATTTCGCAACCATCCACAAGCTAGTGAGCTTGCTTACTCCGTGAGCTGTGGAGCTCGACACACATTTCATGAGCTAAGATGTTTCCACTTCCCCCAAACCACCCCCAGAGGCTTTTCACGGGACATTCGGCCACTATACTATACTGACACCATGTAGAGGGTATATATCCCCCCTCCCACTAACCTACTGTAGCATTCGTGGGAGGATACCTGGAAAATAACGTTCCTTTTGGACAGACCGGGCTCCTGTCAGCTGCAACATGCTCGAGGGAAGGATACCCCAAGTTACCTGCGAGGGGTCCGGCAGCTTCTGCTTGGGGGTAGTGGAACCCATCCAGAGGTTTAATAGTATCACTATATTTGCCGCGTACAAAGGGTTATTGCAATATATATAAATATATAAATATTGAATATGTCTCAATATAAATATATACCCAAATTCACCAGCTGGGTTCCGGTAGCGTAGCTTCGGCTTGGGCTCACCGCTCACCGCCTGAGCCACAGGCTCCTGCGCCTTGGCAAAGCAGCGCAACGCCAAGTCGTAGTCCTCGCCACTTCCGCGCGAGCCGAACGCGGAGGCAGCCGAGCCCCTCGAGAACCCATGTCTCCCAAAGTAGGTTCCATGCACGTGAATTTGTAGGGGACTAGCCCAATAAGTTTTGCCTGGTGTGTTCCGGGTTGTCGGGGCTTCCTCCATTTGCGAATACGCCCTGGAAAAGATGAGAAGACATGTCCAATAGTGAAATCGACCCCCTTAAACTGACAGGGGAATTTGAAATGCAAGGCGTTGCCATGGGTGGCCTCTTCAGCCTTCTGAACCTGGCCAAAGCTAAACTTGTAGGCAAAATGGAAACTACCACTAACCCAACCAAAACAACGAAACACCAAAGTTGAACCGGATGGCTGGGAACGACGGAGGAATTTCATGGGTTTCCCCATTGCTTTCCCCTTCCTTCCCCTTGCTTACCTTTGGGACATTGAGGCTTGGAAGTTCAGCATCTTCTTTTGAGGCAATGACCAAAAGTGAATCCGGGATCCAATGAAAAGCATGACTAGATGCCAAACTCAGAGGGTCCAAGTACCTTCTATAGACCCTTTTTCACCTCCCGGAAGCCATCCTCAGGAGGTACTTGAACCCTCTAGGAAAATGAAACTTACTTCAATGTTGCCTAAACGGAGCTGTTCGAGCAAGAAGCCAAGAACAAATGCTGTGGACGGAATTCCACTTCGCGCCACCTAAGAAACTCTCGTTTCTGATGTTTCCCATGTAAATACCAACAAACAATGGTGTCATAGTTTTGTAGGTGCTGCGCAATGGATTTCGTCACTCCACACCGAGAAGGCGCTGATTTGGAGGGTCTTTACCAAACTAACCAACAGGAAAGCAGCCATCTTTACACCTTAATCTGATCTGGCATTCCATCGGTCTAGAAAATTGAGCCAGTGCTCCGTAACTTTCGGCTTTCCGGGAAGCTTCACCCAAATGGCCTAGAACTGTTTGGAACTTCTTGCTCGGTGAGGGCAGTCAGCCACTTCACAAGGTTGTGCAAATGGCAAGGGGTCGAACCAAAAAGAAGCCAGGCGATAAGTACATAGCACTCAGTTGCCCAAAGGACCTGTTTATAAAAGGTGATCGCCTTTTGGGACCTCTACTAAAAATAGACCAAATTTGGAAAACCAAAAGGTCAAAAGGTCGATTCGCTTTGAACAACTGAGAACAACAAAATGCCCCAACGGACCCAAATGGCCATGGGTCAAAATTCCGTACCCCCAGTGAACATCCAAATCCCCACTAAGATAGGTTCTAAAATGACCGACAAAACGAGAACACATTTAACGCGCCTTCGTGGCCCAAGCCCGTGATATGGCCGTCCGCAATGGTATTACTCGGTTGCGAAATCTGCGAAGCCCTGCTAAAAGTTTAACTTTCTTTTAGTGGTTCAATGCGGAAAACCCATCCAGTCCTAACATCCCTTGGCAAAATGCGCCAAACAAATTAATTTGTAAGCGTTCCCTTCCTTCAAGTGCGCAAAGACCCACATCTCACTTCCGGAGTGGGTCATTAACACATTGCAAAGTTGTTTGCCACCAAAACAAAACTTCCCAACAGTTTGGAGCCTAGGAGTTCAGGGAGTGAGCAGTGGAAGGCTACCTTCCATGCCGCTGGCCCTCCCACATGGCATCCAAACCCTCCATTTGCGCATATGTCCCCTGGGAAAAAAAGAGAAAATATGTCCAGTAGTGAAATCGATTCCCTTCAAAATCAACAGGGGGAAGAATCTGAAAAGCCGAAAATTTGCGCCTGGGAGGAGAACAAGCCCGGGGCAGCTTCCTCAAAGCATTCAACTTCCCACTTGGTGCTTCGCATGGGTGGTTTAGTGGTTTTGGGGGGTGGTTTCCCATCTACCCTCTACCAACAGAAAGGGTTCAAATCCCAAAGCAATCCGAACCACCAACTAGGGGGCGCCTGAAATGCGGCGGTGTTTGTTTTTGCGGTTCACTAGGACCACTTGCCCAAAGGACCGTTTTTTTGTTTAAGCTTCCCTTTAGTTGGTGGTTTGGTGGCTGAGGAGGGGTTTCCCATAATCCCCAACCACCAATCCACACCACCAATTAGTGGATACCTGGAAAAGGAAGAAGCAGAAACAACAGAGAAAACAAAAAACATTGGTTGATTCGCTTGTGGCGCTTGTACATTCCACATGCTCCCAAATGCCTTGAAGGGGAACTCCCTGAAGACCTGATCTGAGAGCCCTTTACGCAACGGCCATTTCGATCGGTCCATTCGCTTTGGCTGGGCTGATTCCCACCCCCGGGCCCTCTCGCCCGGACCGCCCGACCACACTCACCTCCACGTACTTGGCCGCCATGCCCCGGTTGAAATGGAGCGAGGGGTTCCACTTCCCCAGCCTCGGAAAGGGTCGCGGGCCGAGGTCTGAGGCTTCTTGGCTGTCCGTTTTCAGATCTGGCAAACGTCGAACTTCTGGATGAAATGGAAACAAAAACTATAACTAACAGCAAAACAAAACTCAGGAACCGGATGGCTCCCCCCCCCACAAAACAAAGCACGATTTGTTTTTGTGGTGAAAGGGCAACCACCCCGTCCAGGCAAAACGGGAGAAAGGAAGCAACCAATTCGCTGGAGGTCTGGCAGTGCTTTGAGGACACTCCCGGTTCTGTCGCCTTCGGAAGGTGAGCTTTAAGGACACTCCCTGTCCGGGTGAATTATAATGTTTCACCAGCGTGAAACAAGGTGGTTGGGGGTCCATTCCCCACATAAACCACCATTTGGTGTGAGTTCGGTCGTGTGAGGTCGTTATAATTCACCCAGTCCCCGTTCTGTGGAGAAGCTGAACCCAACGTTTTTTGTGTTTTTTTTTTTGGGGGGGCCATCAGCCCACACCACCTGGAAAGCGCCACAAGGCCCCACACCCTCAAGTCCAGCTCGCCATTGGACCAAGGGAAATCAAGGGTAAGCCATGGCTAAAGGCTTACTGGCCGAGGGACCTAGTTTCTTTGTTAACCTTCGACCAAAAGACGAAAAATTGGAATCCAAAAACAGAAACATTGGCCAAAAGTTGGGCCTCGCTTTTGGCCAAAGGGTGATAAAATAGACCATGACGGGCAAATCCCTTCGATTCGTGGATTTCCGAAGGTTTCCCTACTCCCCAAAGGTTCAAGACCCCCATGTGGGATCCTGGTCCGTGAAAGATGTGGTGTTGGTGCGGTACCTTTTGTGGAGTTGGTATTTTTATTGTGTTGCGTTAAAGGGAGACCAAAAGAAACGCCGAACTCGTGGCCCTTTTTTCGTGGGTCCCCCATGGGTCCCACACTCAGAAGAGCGTGCTGGCTTGGGCAGCACCAAGCAACCAGCCATTCAAGCGTAAACCTCCATTTGCGCAACGTCCCCCGAAAAAATATATATATATATAGATACACATATAAATAAACACTCACTGGCTGAGGAGATGGCCCAAAAAAAGTCCAAACTTTATTGTTTACCACTAAAACGGTCTTCCCAAAAAGTTTAAAGTTCAAATTCTCAGGAAGCGAGAATATGTCCAGTAGTGAAATCCATTCGCTTAAAAATTAGCAGGGGAAACAAAACATATTCTTAACCAAATGGAAGTACAGCAGCCAGCCAAAGCAGGCAACCACCAACCTCCCCTTTCTTCCGACTCAGGCCCCTGGCTTTTGGTAGGCCAGGTCGCTCTTCTCGTAAGCGATGAGCGCCCTCACACCGCTCACACCAACCGACATCAGTTGGCTATTGGCCTGTCAAAACCTCCGAAATCGATGGCTTCCCTGTTGGTTCTCTTCAACATCGTAAAATCGTGCACCCTCGAAAGCGGATACGCGCCAAACTTTGACTCGACCTGAAAAAAGTGGCGCCGCTTTTTCTAGTTGAATGGGCAAATCAAGGAACGCCAAGGCGAACAGTGCCTTGAGTGCGAGGCAAGTCTGGTGGCTCACAAGAGCGTTGATTTGAGTCGGGACCCGTCCCAAACCCAAACACCCCAGTAGTGAAAAATGGTTTAAAGCGGAAATGTCGAGTTTTCTTGGGTTGGCATACGGTCGAAACCCAGACATTCAACGTCAGAAGCCCGTGTTGGTTTGGAGCGCGATGAGGCACAGCGATCACGCAGGGACCCAGGATACAGCACGGCCTAAGAGGCATAGGGGGTGCCCTGCCAGGCACATCTTGCGTTGGCAAATCTCGAAAACCGGAGCCGCTTTCTCGGCGGCATCCATGTATGATGAATGGGTTTTCCTTCACCTTCATCTACCCGAGTTTTCATTGCCAGTTCAAAACATCCCACTAGACCCCCAGGCTCCCCCGATTCTACTTGTATGGTCTTCCACCCAACTTGATTTCTCAAAAAGTCTTAAAGTCTAAAGATCCAACCCCATAGCGGTCAAGTAGTGAGTGGGTTACATGGAAACCACCACTAAACACTAAGAAGCTAAAAGGCCCATGGACCTTAAATGACTCACTGGTTGAGCCACCAAGAGGAAGTGAGGGAACCCTTCAGTGAGGTCCCTGGTTTGCTGAGAAATCTTTTCCGGCCAAGGCTGTAGCAATGGCCAATGGCCAATGCCACTTCCGCATGGCGGTGCAGGCTGTGGTTAAGACCAAGGGTGAAGAAGCGAAACGGGGCTCACACCACGAAATGAAACCTAGGTGCTCCAGATTTGAGAGGTTAGAATAAGGGCGCGCGATTTTTTCTGTAGTCTGTTTTAGTAGGGGAACCGAATCTCCCCCAAAAAGGGTAAAAAGGCACTACTGGGGGACCTAGCCATGGTAAAACAAAGTGGTTGGTATTTACAGGCGAAACGTCATCCCAGGGCTTCTTAGGTGGTGCAGATGTTCGTCCATCCGCAGTAGGGGTATACAACCATGAGTAAGAGGGTACATATGTCTGCTACCCACTTCTAAGTGCCATTTGCTTAAGCCCACTGGAAAGAATATTCAAAATATATAGTGATAGATTTCCTTTAAAGCCAACAAGGTGAAATAAACAATCATCTTACCCGGAGGGTCCAAGTATGTCCAAGTACCTCCTGAGGATGGCTTGGGGGGAGAGGTAAAAAAGGGTCTAAGTACCTCCTTAGAAGGTACCAAGAGACCTTCTGGGTTCAGCAAATGGAAGGTAATGTCGAACTGTGAAATCGATTCCCTTCAACACCACCAAGGGAAAAAGTAAGGTTCCCCTCAATAAACCCTAATATAGGGGTGTCCCTGGTTTTAGTGGGAGGCAATAATACTAAGCAAATGGAAGGTAGTGTCGACATCCGATCTCTCGCCTCTTGATCTCATCCGGCCGCTTGGCGTTCACAAAGAAGTTCCCCACCTGAGGTGCAGGTGGAAGGCTTGAGTCAGAAAAGGGATCTCGCTGTCTCACAACTCACTGGAGTGGATGGCCCAAAAAAGTCCAAACTTTATCTACTGAAATGATCTTCCCAAAAGGGTTTAAAGTTCATGAACTCAGAAAGTGAGACCATGCTTTCTCCTCCATTTGCGCTTCCGTCCCCTGGAAGAATAAGAAAAGATGTCCAGTTGTGACACATCCCCTCTAAAACCAGAGGAAAATTGAAGATGTTCATTTCAGCAAATGAAAGTTCTCAAAGAGCAATTGGACCTCCCAAACAAAGCACTCAAAGGGAAACCTATTGGCAGTTCCGTGTTGGCATTGGGATTGGCGGGGGGAGGGTCTCGGGAAAAACCGGCCCTTGACAGCCACAGGAAAGCATACCGTCGCGGAGAATTTGTAGAAGCGGTGGGGAGGGCCTCCAGCGGAATGTGCGCAGGCTACGGACCCTGAAGGTTTTCCCGAACGTGGACGGAGCCTGAAAAAAAAAAACGGCGACCCATGCAGTGGGGGATCCCTTTGTTCGTTAGATTCCTGTGTTCCAGGGGGACAACAAATCGAAGTTCACAATGGGGGTTGTTTAGAAACGTCAGTCGACATTACATGAGACGTCCTGCGAATATACCCAATGTGCTTGCTTTATGACCCAAGTATTGGGAATGAACCTACAGATTCCCTCAAAGGAAACCATGGGGGATTATGTGGCCCTCATTCTCTGCTGAGATTCTGTTTTTGGGGGGTCTGTCTATATCTGTCTAGTGAAGGATCCGCTCTGCCAAGATGATCAGTTGCGCCTGGAAGTAAAAGGTGATTGCCTTTTGAACCTTGCCTAAAAGTGATTGCCAAATCAGGGATTTGAAACCAAAAAGGCCACAAGGTCGAGAAATACCGTGGATGGACAAAATTTTGCACCACCTCAAAAGTCCTGGAATGATGGTTCCCCAACGTAAGTACCAACTCGCATGGTTTCAAAGTGGTGCGAAGTGGATTTTGTCCATCCACAGTAGGACAGCCCTCTAATCAAGGGGTTACTTGCCCCGCCAACAATTATTTCAGAAAAAATAAGTTCTGACCCCGCTCTCGTGCCCAAACCCCGAGCGGCCGTGCGGAAAAAGGGCGCTGATTTTTTTTGGCTGTTGGTACTCACTCTGAAAAGTAAAAAAGTAAAAAACAAAAACAACTCACTCTGAAAGAAAAGTAATTTGAAGAAAAATAAACTCACTCTGAGAAGTAAACCCAGGCAATATCCCCACCAAGCCCAGAGCCCTGGAACGCCGGAATTCCTTGCGAGGTCCAAGCCACCAAAGCAGAAATGGGCCTGGCCCCCGACTTCTCAGATTCCCGGTGGCCTTTTGTTGGTGGCTGAGTTTAAAGGGGAACCCTGACCCAAAAAAGGAAAACCGGGCACAGAGAATTGACATGCCCGGACCCGCAAAACGGATGGTCGCACTCCCGGACGTGTTTTCCTGAGTATCGACCCCAAAGCTCCAAAAAGCCATCCACTGGGCACCTGGGCCAGGTCTGCGCTTCAACGATGGACGTTTCATCCTAGTTGCCAACCTTCGCCCCTCCAAACTCTCGGGCCGGCACGTAGGCATTCCCCAACCTCGGATGCATCCGAAATGGGTCGTTCTTTTCCTGAACTGAGGGCATCGTTTTGGGGGGTAAGTTAGTCAAAGTTAAGGAGAATCACAAGGAAAACGCTAACAACCTTGGGGGGTCCCCTAAAAAAGGACACACGGAAATCAGGAGGCCATCCTGGCTGCACATTTACATTTGCCATCCATTTGCCAAAGGGAAACCGTACGAAGTGGTTGTAAAGAACGCACCCTGTAGACGTGGACCCTCCTGCCAATCAGGGCTTGGGGATGTTCATGAGCAATGTGTCCATGTGCGTCAAGCAGTGGAATGAATCCAGAACAATATTTACTTCATTATGAAATATATATTGCTTTCGGGTGGGAAGCATTGCAGACCTCATGGTGAAACCAAGCGATCCCGCACCCGATCGCATTCATCTCTTGGGAACCAGCTGGAACCAGCAACTAGTGGGGCACACCTTCTGACACCCACAGGTACCGCGTCTTAAATCTGCGTGTCTTCCAATTGTTTAACCCCCAGCCAGTCACGCATGTCAGAGAAAAAACGCATATTTTCACCCCCAAACTTACTTCCTGAGTTGATGGGCCCAAACAAGTCTGAACTTCTTATTTGCCACTAAAAAGGTCCAACCCCAACAAATTTAAGGTCAAACCATAGCAACCATTGCGCTATTTGATATGTAGGGTCGGCCCAAACAATCAAACTTTGCAGGTCCAGCCTTTGCCACAACTTGCTCTTCAGACACCTGGAGTTAGACCTTCGGTGCTGAAAGCCCAAGGGAATTTCTAGGTTCATCCCCAAACCCTACATCATTCCCTAATAACTAAACACCAGCAAGTAAAAGGTCAAGCCTTTCGGGCCTCTACTAAAAACGGATCGACGTGGGAAAACCAAAAGGTCAACCAGGGAGAAAACCCAAAGGCGGCTTTTTCGTTGCTCGGTTTTCAACGAGTAAGCTTAAAGGAGGGCGAGGAGGCCTCGTCGCCCTCTTTCGCTTCCCGATCCGACCCAGGCAGTTGCTCGATCTCGCTCCGGCTTTGGGTCCTGGGCGTCTCCCAGTTGAGAGGGTCCTCTGGGCCCAAAACCACCGCCTCCTTCGCCTTCTCCAGCGCCTCGGCACTCACGGGCGAGGCCTCCATCGATATGTCTGGGGTAGTTTTGTCGGGGCTAAATTGGCCGGAGGCAAAACATAGGCTGGTTGTGGGGTGCTCTAAACCTAACTATAAAGATGAGTAATTTCGGCATGATTTATAGGGGCAAAAAATGCCGGTTGTCCTCGCAAGTGTCAACAAGAATGCATTCTCCAAACATAAGCTGGGTGGTAAAGATATTTTGTGGAAAGAAAACGTACGAGCACTGGCCTTTAGAACAAATCAAACATGTACGGCTATGTTGCACCAGTGTGCACCCTATGCACCACCCTTGCATAGATCCAAGGTTCTGAACAGGCACAGGGCCCCAACACAGGGGGGGTTCTATCCCATAGGCCCTCAAGCCTACACCTCCAAATTCTCCCGGAGCTCCCTGACCATGGGTACAGGTTTTACATATACTGGAGATGCAGGGCTAGAATGACTGGGGCTTGCCCCGTGCTAATTAATCCACCAGGGGCGCCTCGATGCAGCATCCTTTCCTCCAGTAAACGAATGAGTCCAGCACAACCAAATGCTTACTTGCCCAAGGAGACCTGGAAATTAAAGGTTTCCCTTTGGGACCTGTTCGCAGGTGGGCTTCGGGCAAGTGACGCGCGCGCACGCACGCAGGGGCAAGTGGGTCGCTTGAGTTGCTTATTTGGATTCCACCGTTTTTGTGGCAAACAAAACAGTTGGGACTGCTTGGACCAATCCAGCCGCGAAGGTGTGTGCACATTAGTGTATACTTGAGGCCTATGCTCGTATACCATGGTGGGGGTGAAGCTACCCACCCCGCAGTCCTCCAACAAGAAGGTGCTCGATTATTTTCTCGGGCAAAGGGAAACACCTGAGTCATAAGCGAAACCCGGTACTAAAATGGTCGTAATCCCAGAACCATGTAAAGAATTAAGAAGGCGGAATGTCGCAGCTATTTATGGTTGGGATTGTCCCTTACTAACCTTCATTTACCCAGGTTTTGATTGTGACCCACCTGTAGAACCAGAAGCTGAAATGAGACTCGCGCATGCCATTGACCCGGCGCCTTGGCGTAATTCAGCCGGCGCGCTGAGACCTTCCCGTCAGGTTTCAGAAGGAGACTGTGGGAGTGCTGTGCTTTCCCTACCTGGATTTGCGGCCAAACTGGTAAGTGGTTTGCCAACCCACGACTGACAGGATCAACCCTACTGCATGGGGACTTATGAGTTGGTAGCCCAGGCTACCATTTACGAACTTGGCCGAACACACAAGCACCCCCGCCAGGGAAAACCAAGGTTTGCGCCGGAGACCAACCCCGCAAACCCACCATGGGGGCACCAACCAAAGAAACTTCCAGACCCTCCCCCGGCCATTGCAATCACCTGCCTTTAGCAACGTGTGCCATGGAATTCCGCAGGAATTTCCACCCAAACTAATGCCAACACACATGAAACTTGTTTTCCTGTAGGTCAGTTGCTCAAATTGTCAAAGGATTCAGAAATATAGGTGTTACCTTTTGGAACCTTCACGAAAAATTGGAATACAAATCAAGGAAACCAGCTTGACTTCTTTCAAGCCGTTTTGCTGTGGTTGCAACAAATGGGTCAGCTGGCAAGGTAAGTACCAACAACCCTTGAATAAGTCATCCCCAAAACAACCCCTTGTCGGTATTCAGTGTTTAGGAACCTCCCAGCCTCCCATTTTGGCCGGATTAGGGCTTGGACTGCCTGGCTTTCTTGGCCTCCGGCGTGCCAGGCTCGGTTTGCTCAAGGTCTGCAACTTGTTTGTCCTCCACGGCAAGACGTTCCCATAGATCGAAGGCCGCGCTGAGGCGTCTTCACGAAATGCCGGCTTGAGGGCACGTCCGTGGCCCAGATTCCAGCCCGTTGGCCCAACACCCGTAGCCCAGCCCTTGGCAAAGAGCCAGCTCTACGCTTTCCAGGCTGAACCAGATCGGGTCTCTTTTTCGTCGGCGCTTCGTCGGTGCGTGACCAGACCAGACAACCGTTCAGTTGGCTGAAAATGGGAGCCGCTCTGAAAGCACCAGACGTGGGATCGACTCAGCGGGGAAGCCCCCAAAATGGACCAAGGGTGCCACTGGCCGGTCTCAAGCAGACTCACCAAAATGGCGGGCTTTCCTTTTGCTTTCCCAAAAAATCACTTGCTGAGTGGATGTGCCAACTTTTGGTTTGCACCAGAATAGTCTTCTCAAAAAGGGAATCCAGGCACTCAGGGAGTGAGTTTAAACGAGTACCCCTGAAGAAGACTCGCGCCACTTTCATGTCCCTCACCACTCCCGGTAGCTGTGAAAGGCGCCCTACAGTATGTTGGCAATTTGGATACCCCGGCTCTAGCGGCTCCTATCCAACACCTGTAGATAAACGATCCATTTCGCACCGCTCAGAAACCCTGGTTTGTGCTGATTGCAAACAAACGTTAGGGTTTCCACCATGGTTTCAATCCCTCCACAGTATGGACCAAGGGCAAACACAAGGTCGCATCCTGGGGAATCCAAAATCCCGAACAACCCCCATTGAAGGAATTGCCACTTACCCAGCTAAGACCATGACCATCCTTAGGATTTCGCAACCACCCACAGCAGGTGGCCGAGCTATGAATCCAGGCCAACGCCCTAAAGCCCCCGAGAGCTTGCAGCGAGAAAGCCTTGGCCGCATCCTCCGACTTGCCGTCCGGCTGGCCTCGGTTCATGTCCAAATGACGGGGTCCAAGGGGCGAGTTCCCTTATTGCGGTTGGCTTCTGACTCCAAGCACCTGAAAATACAACCTGGGTCGCCAGTTGCGATCGCTTTGTCCATCTACTTTGCCCCAAAAACCAGCAACAGTGACTGAAACAAACAGCAACTTGGCTATCTAGGGGCTTAACGTTTCGGACCTTTTCTTTTGGGAACTCAACAAGGCGAAACAAAGAGGTGAGAAGGTCGCTTGGGGCAAGTGAGTTTCAAGGGAAGCCAAACGGAATCACTCCCACTATGAGACAACCCCGACCCGATTGAAAGGAACGCATGGCACGAATTGGATGCCAGCGTGTCCCAATGCAGTTTTGGATATGCCTACATTGCAAACCAGCAGCTTTACTTGCTGGTGCTCAATAGTAAATGAGGGAATGACAGACAGCCAGCAGATAAGGTGTTGTGCTGGATTTTGCTTTTTGGTTTAAGGCTTCCATCTGCGGTAGCCTTTTTAACTTCCATTTCGGGCGCCGTCCAAGCTACAAAACCCAAGTTTGCCATAGAAAGATATTTGTAGGCTGACCGGAAATGGTCTCAGATGCCGAGTGTCCACGGGCAAAACGGGCATCCATTCTGCTTGAGTTAAAAGGGGAGGTTTGATTTCGGTGGGCTTCCTACTGATTTTCAGTATGGTTCAGACCTCCAATGGAGAGCTTGGGACCTAAAGCTGTCCCTCGTGAAGTTAGAAAAGCACATCCTGTCACATCTCTTTTACGGGAGGGGGTGATGCCGTGGATGGACGAAATCCATTTCGCAACACCCCAGACAGCCCCGAACGATGACCCTCCTGTTCACACCAGCGAACAAGGGTTTCCCATGGTTTGAAAGTGGTGCAGGATTTCGTCCATCCACAGTACCTTTTGTGCAGCTACTGTTGTGTCGCTGAAACTTGGCAGAAGCCAATTTACAGCCCGAATGGTCTGATGGATTGACTCCATGCTTCCCAACACCAATCCATGACACCACACAAAAGGGACACCCTCACCCTTCGTCCCATGTTCAAGCCCACGTACTCTGAATTCTATCTTGACCCAAACCTCCCAAAATCCGGCTGGTTGCATCAAGCTTAGCAGGATATTATAAGCAAACAAGTGTTTTTGGTGGTGGTGCCTTTTGGCCCTGCTTGTGGCAAATGAACCCTGCGTCTCAGCTCTCGCTCATTTTCCCGCTTGGAAGCAACGAGCGCATGGCACACGGGCAATTTAACGTGCGCGGCAGGGAATGAAGAGATGAAGCGGAAGGGGAGGCGGCGATTCGCGACATTTCGTTCAGGCGGTTTCATCTTTGGGAAATGTTGACAGCGACCCAGAGAACAAAAAGAAAACTACTTCGCATCAAGCAATACCCAGCCAACCACACTCACGAGCTTACGACCGTTACAACAAACTCCTCCGCATCCTAGAGACATTTTGCAAGACCAGACTGGCGAGCTGCTCTGGCAGGATACTGGCGGGATCCACTGGCGAATGCTGGCGAGCCGCTTCGGCTCGATACTGGCCGGATACTCGGCAGGATCCACCAGCAAGGGATACTCAGCGGATACTCGGCGGGATCCGGTGGGATCCACTGGCGGGCTGCTCTGGTGGCGGAATCCTATGGCGAGCTCGGCGGGATCCACTAGCGAGCCGCCCTGGCTGGCGAGCAGCTCTGGCGGGATACTGGGCGGGATCCACTGGCCAGCTGCTCTGGCGGGGTACTGGGCGGGATCCACTGGCGAGCCGCTCTGGCGGGATACTCGGCGCGAACCACTGGCGAGCCGCTCTGGCGGGCGGGATGCTCGGCGGGATCCACTGGCGAGCCGCTCTGGCGGGCGGGATGCTCGGCGGGATCCACTGGCGAGCCGCTCTGGCGGGATACTCGGCGGGATCCACTGGCTATCCGCTTTGGCGGGATTCTCGGCGGGATCCACTAGCGAACTACTCTGGCGGGATACTCGGCGGGATGCACTGGCGAGCTGCTCTGGCGGGATACTCGGCGGGATGCACTGGCGAGCCGCTCTGGTGGGCGGGCGGGATACTCGGCGGGATCCACTGGCGAGCCGCTCTGGCAGGCGGGATGCTCGGCGGGATCCACTGGCGAGCCGCTCTGGCGGGATTCTCGGCGGGATCCACTGGCGAGCCGCTTTGGCGGGATCCACTAGCGAACTACTCTGGCGGGATACTCGGCGGGATGCACTGGCGAGCTGCTCTGGCAAGATACTCGGCGGGATGCACTGGCGAGCCGCTCTGGCGGGATATACTCGGCGGGATCCACTGGCGAGCCGCTCTGGCGGGATACTCGGCGGGATCCACTGGCGAGCCGCTCTGGCGGGATACTCGGCGGGATGCACTGGCGAGCTGGCGAGCTGCTCTGGCGGGATACTCGGCGGGATCCACTGGCGAGCCGCTCTGGCGGGATACTCGGCGGGATCCACTGGCGAGCCGCTCTGGCGGGATACTCGGCGGGATGCACTGGCGAGCCGCTCTGGCGGGATACTCGGCGGATCGGCGAGCCGCTCTGGCGGGATACTCGGCGGGACTCTGCGCTCGGCGGGATCCACTGGCGAGCCGCTCTGGCGGGATACTCGGCGGGATCTCACTGGCGAGCCGCTCAGGGCGGCTATACTCGGCGGGATCTGGCGAGCCGCTCTGGCGGGATACTCGGCGGGATCCACTGGCGGGAGGCCGCTGGGCGGGATACTCACTGGCGAGCGGATACTCGGCGGGATCTGGCGAGCAGCTCTGGCGGGATACTCGGCGGGATCCACTGGCGAGCCGCTCTGGCGGGATACTCGGCGGCCGCTCTGGCGGGATACTCGGCGGGTCCACCGGCGAGCAGCTCTGGCGGGATACTCGGCGGGATCCACTGGCGAGCCTGCTCTGGCGGGATACTCGGCGGGATCCACTGGCGAGCCGCTCTGGCGGGATACTCGGCGGGATCCACTGGCGAGCCGCTCTGGCGGGATACTCGGCGGGATCCACTGGCGAGCCGCTCTGGCGGGATACTCGGCGGGATCCACTGGCGAGCCGCTCTGGCGGGATACTCGGCGGGATCCACTGGCGAGCCGCTCTGGCGGCGACTCGGCGGGATCCACTGGCGAGCCGCTCTGGCGGGATACTCGGCGGGATCCACTGGCGAGGCGGGATACTGCTCTGGCGGGATACTGGCGGGATCTCGGCGGACTGGCGCGAGCTCGGCTCTGGCGGGATACTGGCGAGCCTCTGGCGGGACTCGGCGGGATCCACTGGCGAGCCGCTCTGGCGGGATACTCGGCGGGATGGCGGGATACAGGCTCGCGGGATCCACTGGCGGGCGCTCTGGCGGGATACTCGGCGGGATCCACTGGCGAGCCGCTCTGGCTCGGCGATCCACTGGCGAGCGGGATCCACTGGCGAGCCTGCTCTGGCGGGATACTCGGCGGGATGCCTGGCGACTGCGAGCCGCTCTACTCGGCGGGATACTCGGCGGGATCCACTGGCGAGCCGCTCTGGCGGGATACTCGGCGGGATCCACTGGCGAGCCGCTCTGGCGGGATACTCGGCGGGATGCACTGGCGAGCCGCTCTGGCGGGATACTCGGCGGGATCTGGCGGGATACTCGGCGGGATCCACTGGCGAGCCGCTCTGGCGGGATACTCGGCGGGATCCACTGGCGAGCCGCTCTGGCGGGATACTCGGCGGGATGCACTGGCGAGCCGCTCTGGCGGGATACTCGGCGGGATCACTGGCGAGCCGCTCTGGGGGATACTCGGCGGGATGCACTGGCGAGCCGCTCGGGATGGCGGGATAGCCGCTCTGGCTCGGCGATCCACTGGCGAGCCGCTCTGGCGGGATACTCGGCGGGATCCACCGGCGAGCTGCTCAGCTGGGCGAGCCGCTCTGGCGGGATACTCGGCGGGATCTACTCTGGCGGGATACTCGGCCGGCGAGCCGCTCTGGCGGGATACTCGGCGGGATCCACTGGCGAGCCGCTCTGGCGGGATACTCGGCGGGATCCACTGGCGAGCCGCTCTGGCGGGATACTCGGCGGGATCCACTGGCGAGCCGCTCTGGCGGGATTCTCGGCGGGATCCACTGGCGAGCCGCTTTGGCGGGATCCACTGCGAGCAGCTCTGGCGGGATACTCGGCGGGATGCACTGGCGAGCTGCTCTGGCGATACTCGGCGGGATGCACTGGCGAGCCGCTCTGGCGGGATACTCGGCGGGATCCACTGGCGAGCCGCTCTGGCGGGATACTCGGCGGGATCCACTGGCGAGCCGCTCTGGCGGGATACTCGGCGGGATGCACTGGCGAGCTGGCGAGCTGCTCTGGCGGGATACTCGGCGGGATCCACTGGCGAGCCGCTCTGGCGGGATACTCGGCGGGATCCACTGGCGAGCCGGCTCTGGCGGGATACTCGGCGGGATGCACTGGCGAGCCGCTCTGGCGGGATACTCGGCGGGATGCACTGGCGAGCCGCTCTGGCGGGATACTCGGCGGGATCCACTGGCGAGCCGCTCTGGCGGGATACTCGGCGGGATCCATTGGCGAGCCGCTCTGGCGGGATACTCGGCGGGATGCACTGGCGAGCCGCTCTGGCGGGATACTCGGGGATCCACGGGAGCTGCTCTGGCGGATACTCGGCGGGATGCACTGGCGAGCCGCTCTGCGGGATACTCGGCGGGATCCACTGGCGAGCCGCTGGGATACTCGGCGGATGCACTGGCGAGCTGCTCTGGGATACTCGGCGGGATCCACTGGCGAGCTGCTCTGGCGATACTCGGCGGGATCCACTGGCGAGCCGCTCTGGCGGGATCGGCGGGATCCACTGGCGAGCCGCTCTGGCGGGATACTCGGCGGGATACTCGGCGGGCGAGCCGCTCTGGCGGGATACTCGGCGGGATCCACTGGCGAGCCGCTCTGGCGGGATACTCGGCGGGATCCACTGGCGAGCCGCTCTGGCGGGATACTCGGCGGGATCCACTGGCGAG